GTGTGTGTGTGTGTATGTATGTGTGTATATATATATATATTATATATATATATATAAAAAAAAGAAAAATAAATGACACCACCCCTCTCCCCCCAGTTTAAAGCCTCCGTTCTCCCCACCCCACTCCAGGGTGTTCCCAAAGCCCTTTCACAGCACGGGGTTTGGGGGGGGGCTCTTACCTGGCGTCTGGCACAAAGCCGAAGGCACCCCAAGAAAAGGGGGTCTCAAGTGAGGTCCCAAAGCGATGTGGGGAGCATTCTGGGGCGACAGGAGAGGTGGGGGGTGGGACATCTCCCTACAGAGAGGAAACGCAAAGGAGAACATTAAAACTTGCTGGGGGGAGGCAAAAGGAGGCAATTAAAGATAAACCGACGTCAATATTTCAGCATTCTGTCTTTTTTCTTCTGTTAAACACCCTAAGAAAACAAACCAACAAAAATATATTCCCAGCTAGGGTCCCACAACTGGCTTTCTCACAGCCCCCACCTCTTTCAAAAATGCCCCAAATTTACTTCCCGTGCTCCATCGTTAAAAAGAAGCGGGATAAAAGCCATTTTATCTCACCATGTCTGGGTGAAATGGGTTGGGGGCCCTAACCAAGGATACCCCACAAAAGAAGCACCTAGCCTTGGGAGGGGGGTCTGCTCTCAGGCAGTTTTGGAACAGACCCAGCAGCCTGTTAGTGGCTGGTTAGTTAGGGGGGGTCTTATCTCTCTGCTGGAGACGATGGACAAGCGTCCCCCCTAGATTACGGCACCCCGCTTTCCATTAAAAAAAAACAAAACGGATCCGGCAAGCAGATTGATGCTAAATTGGTTACCAATGACTAGCTAGGGGGCTTATTTGGAGGGGGGGTCTCCGGAGATGCTCGGCGGGAGGAAAGACAGTGGAAGAACACAAACGCACACCGACGTCTGTCCACGCACAAAACTTCTGAAAGGGGTCCAAACGACAAGTCCAGCCAGGAAATCTGCAAACGTGGATTAAACCCTCTGGCTTGCCAGACCACACACACACACACACACACACAAACACAGAGTCTCTTTGCTTCTCGACCCATCTGTCTTCCCCTCCAGCCCTTCCCTTCTGTCTGCCCCCCTCCCCTCTCCCCTCCCCTCCCCTCCCTCCTTCCTCTAAACTAATTGCACAGCTCCCGGTGTCTGGAGGACGCGGCGGGCCGGGCTGTGGATCGATTGGGGGGCTGTTGAAATGTTAATGCTAATCGCATAACTGCTCCCGCCAGCGCCTCGCACTTGGCTGGCAGCGCCAATTAATCTCAGGTAACGCAGCGCATGACCTTCAGGGCGCCCAGCCCTGGCGCAGCAGCCAAGCGATGCTGATGTAATTACAGCATGAAGGGTGTAATCACCGGACCTTAATCCCTTCTGGCCTGGCAATTAGTCCAGGCGGCTTCGGGCGGGCGACGGGCCCGAGCCCACGCCAACGTTGGACAGACAGCTGAGACCATGAATAACGGACAATTAAAGGCCGGGGGGGTCCGGGAAGAGGAGGGGGCCCCGGGGGGAGGAGCGGGGTCCCGGATCGTAATTAGCCGTAATCGCAAGGAGGGGAAGCCGGGCAGGCTTGCCACCTGCTGGATTAAAGACCAATTTGAGGGGGGGAGGGAGAATCAAGTGCCGTTTAACCGCTCGACCGTTAAGCGGCACAGCCGGCCCTTGGATGACCCGCTGAGCCCACCGGGAATGGAGGGGGGAGGAGGAGGGACCACACAGAAATTTTTTCAGGGGGGCATCAGAGGGGAGAAGGCTTGGTGAGCCCTTCCCCACTCCCAACCCTTGTCTGTGCCGATTCCCACTCCTCTTTTGTGCCTCTTTCTCCCCAGATTGCCGTCGCTGGACAAGGCGGCGGTTAAGCGAATCGCTTAAAATCGCCGTCTGTGGTTTTTGTAGACTTTTGTCGCCGCGGTCGTTAAACGAATCAGGCGGTCGTTAAGCAAATCGGGCTTCTGCCCCCTTCCCCCCATCGACTTGGCTTGTCGGAAGCCGGATGAGAAGGTCGCAAATGGCGATCAGGAGAAAGCCCCCCCCCTTCGGATGCTGCAGACGGTCCTCGACTTACAAGTTCATTTAGTGACCTTCCCAAGTTACGACGGCACTGAAAAAAGTGGCTTAGGACCGTTTTTCACACGACCGTTGCAGCATCCCCCAGGGTCACGGGAACAAATTCAGACACTTGGCAACTGACTCGTATTTATGACAGTTGCAACGTCACGGGATCGTGTGATTCCCCCTTTTGGATTGTCAGTGGGGAAGTCAATGGGACACGATTCGCTTAGCAAATGTCTCGCTTAGCGACGGAAATCTGGGCCTAACAATTGTGGTCGTGAAGGCGAGGACTATCTGCCTTTGTGACCACAACGGGCACCGAGGATCATCTCAAATCCAGGAAGTGAGATCCTTGAGGTTGGAAACTTTATTTAACACAAAAACAAACAAACAAACCACTTGAACAATGTGGGTCATTGCTTCCTACCCACCCTAAGCCAGGATTTCCCTCCCAGCAAGAGGCAGGAAAATGGGTCAAATTCGGGATTGGCAGAGGGCATTTCTGAATCCGGTGTCACCCAGGCCAATCTGCTTACCGACAGCTGAGCTGGCAGAAGCCGCTGACGTTATTCGGCGAGGATTAAGCGGGGCCAAAATTTCTTATCACACGGCAGGTATTAATCTGATCGCCTCTGCAGGGGGGCAGGGGGTCACACCCCATAACTACCGCCACTAGATCCCTTGTCTGGCGAAACAGATGGACCTTTATTTCTCCCCCGCCGCCTTTTAGTGGGGCAGCAAAACAAGACATTCTGGCGTTTGCAGACCCCCCCCCATCCACTTCTCTCCCCTTAAAATACCCTCAAATTCCCACACTCTGGGCCGAAATGGCTTCTCCGCTGTTCCCGCCCCAAGTTCTAATCCTGCCCTCACAGCCCCAGGCGAAGGGAGTCAATGCAAGATCAGCCTTTTTAAAAAAAGGAATCGACTTTTTTGGGGGGAAAAAAGAAAAGGGGTCAATTTGGTTTCTATCCTGGGCTTTGCATTGTTCGTACAGACACAGACACACACACACACACCCCAAACTGGCATGCGAAGACATTAGAAGCTCTGAACTTGGTGTTGCTAAACTTGATATGTCCTTTAAGAGGAGAAAAATGGTTTGCTAAGCTTTAAAAGTATTGGCTTTTTTTTTTTTTAACAATAAGCACTAATGGCCTTCAGATAATCGATGTTTCTAAGTCGTTAGCAGGCCCACGTGAAAAAAAAAAAAACCAACCACGCTTCGTTTTTAACCCCGTCGCTCCCACTGACAACACAGACCCCAGCAGGCTATCCGAGAGAGCGCTCGGACCCCAAGTTCGTGGGTCAACTACAAACCCCATCACTCCCCCAACCACGATGGGAATTGTAGTCTCGCAGAATTAGAAAAGCCCAGGTTGAAACAGCTGGGCTGACGGCATGGAAAAAAAAACGTTCCTGTTCCATTTCCGCTTTGCAGATCCCAGAATTCCCCAGCTGAACACTGGAATTGCCAAAATCACCTGATATTTTTGGCTGTCAGTAGGTCATAAAGACATCCCGGTTGCCAAGCAACCGAATTTTGGCCACGTGGCTCCTGGGACGCTGCAATCCAAGGGTGAAAAACGGTCGTTAAGTCACTTTTTTTTCACTGCCGTCGTAACTTCGGTCACTGAACGGATCTGTTGTAAGTCGAGGACTATTTGAAAGGCAGCTTTCTTGTCGGTTCAGAGTCTCCAAAACCAGCAAAGCCTGCTATTCTCTTCTCCCGGACACTCAATGGCTTCTGGGCAAGGATGCTGAGATATTTTTACATTTTTTTTCTTAAAATAGGCAAGATTCAGCTGGATTTGGGCCATTTCTGCT